TCTCATCTCTTAAACAATTCATTCTTCTAATCATTTCTATTTGTTTAGAGCCTTATTCTCCGGAAAATTTAACTGTAACAGAACTCAATACTACCTGCATACGGCTTTCATGGTTCTTAACAACGAAAACAGGTGCTGATTCAATTTCGATCAGTTATCGACTTGATAGGGCCAGCACCCCGTTGACCGAAGTAAGCGAAACAAACAAACTTAATTGATACTAAAAATTAAGATTTTTGGAAAATTTGAAATTTCTTTTCAATGGATCAAACAGAAAAGTACAACAGATAGTTTCATTAATGCTCATTTCTAATAATACTTTCAGGTCATAATACAAAGTAATCAAAGATCAGTTGAAATATGCAGTGGTCTGCAACCTGGACGAACTTACATATTCATTGCAAGAACGAAGAAAAGCAATGAAATATCAGAAGGTGTCAAACTGCTACATACAATGAAGCCGAAAACACCTGAAAATTTGAAAATTTTAACGGATTATGAGAAACGGAAATTTCGGTATCACTTTTTTGTTCATTTCTCCCATAATTTTTCTATTAAGCTTTAATATATTAACTCTTTTAAAATCTTTTAAATGTGACAAATCAGTTAAAAGATTGTTATCCTATTTAAATAGATCTGATTCGTAAAGTATTTTGAATGATGTATGATGTATTAATTTGAATGATGAATGAATGAAATAGAAAACATGTAAAATTTAATACTTAAAATTTATACCACTAAAACTCTAAAACAAACTGGGCAATATTAATAAATTATGTGGCACCTTTTGATGACCAGTGATTTTTTTTCCAGATTAATTATGGATATAGCATCAGAATCTGAAAGTCATGTAGAGAAATGTTTCGTCAGTTTGGTGAATGAAAAATTAGATGTCATTGAAAGAATATCGAGTGTTGAAAATTCAAAAACGATTTCAACTGCAAGACAGTAAGTTTATCCGAAAATATTAAATCGATACATCGTTCGATGAACTAATTAATCATTTATAAGCTTTTAAAAATTTCTTACTGCATGGATATATATTGCGTATGAAATCACTAAAAATTTATGAAAAAAGTTGAATAGTAATTTACTTCAAATTCATCTTTTAAGCATTGTCATTGCGATTGATTTTGCAATAAAATTTGCTAATTAATCTTAAAAAGCATAATTATTCTAATCAATACAATCGGCTATTTCGACGTTCTTGTGTTTAATTTTGAATTTGCTGAATGTTTAGATGCTCGATCTATGTGGACTTACATCCTGGACAACGTTATGAAGTTTCCGCCAAAACAATTAGCGAAAATGCATCGAGTAATATCATTTCCAAAAGTTTTGCTTTACAGCCAGCTTTTGATATGGAAACCTTTGGACTGCAACTATCAGTGAGTGAATAATTTCCTATCAAATAAATCTGAGTAAAAGACGTTTCCTGAAATGTTCTTTTTTTTGCATATAATCATTCTCAAAGTCTGCTCAGTAATTAGCTTTACCAGCTTTAATTGTTACAAAAAAAGCTTTCACAAAATTTTTATTTGTGCTGCATACTTGAATGAATTTACATCATGAATGTTTCGATTTAAATGCAATGAAAAACTGCGTAGAAATGAGCATTTTTTTTCTGCATAGATCAAAAAAATGAAAATGAATTAATTCTAACATTTATGCTATTAATAGTATTAATAGTTAATAGACAAATTACAATCTGTTTCAAAACATCACTTCTTTAAGCTTTTTTCTACCAATGATGGGAAGATTCAAAGAAAATTTTTTTGATCAGTGACTTATAAATCATTAAGTTAAAAATTTTCGGAATCCGATGGTACCTTAATGCTAAAATGGCCTGTAGCTGAGATGGCTCGAGCGAGGTTGGATGATATTTGGGAAAATATCGTTGGCACTGATAGTACGTTGCATTTACGCGTTGATCCCCTGAGTAAATCGATTAGTGGCACATGGCAAGAGCAATCAAAACGTTTTGAGCGTAAGCAATACGAACGTGATCCCTTAACTGTTTCCAAACTTCAACGTGGTGCTTGTTATAAGGTAAAACGGATGAATTCTTATTTATATGAAATTCCTTTACTGTAAGGTAAATATAAGTATATATGTATACATACTTTAAAAACAAATAAGTTTAAAAATATTGATTTATATCATTTTGTTTGACAACTGATATATTTAAACGGAATTGGATGTGTGGTAGAAGTTAGCAAATTATTGCGAGGAAGAAAGAATGAATGAATCTTTTCAGTGCACCTAAAATCTCATTTCTTATTTTGTACGGATGGATTGAACAAGTTATTGCTGCCTATAGAAATTTGTTGAATATATTTATTAAAATAGATTTATGAGAAGAAACTATGACTGATCAATTTTTAAAAAATTTAATTTCCATCTTATATTTAACTTATCATTTATAATTTGTTTTTTAGTTATTTAACCTTCTCAATACTTCAGTTTAGGTACAAATCTATACTGTAACAAAAAGTGGCATTGCTAGTGCACAGAAATTTGAAGAACTTCTTCGAATCAGTGCACCAAAAGTGAACATAACAGCAAAAGAAATAGCAAAAAGTACCGCTTCATTTCGAGCAACTCTCGAATCACCCGTTATTTTCGATCCACCGGAGTGTAGTTTGCATATTGTGGTGTTAGATATGCACAATATGACTATTTATGACCGCACTACACCTCTAACACCGGAAATATCACCTATTGTTTTAGAAGGACTACGACCTTATCATCGTTATACTATAAACTCTCAAGTGAAACTTTTTAACTTTTTTTTTAAAAGCTAATTTTTGTGAATAGCGCTTAACTAATAAGTTTAATTCATTTAATTAAGTTTAATTCATTTAAGTTTAATTCATTTAATTAAGTTTGATTAAAAACTAAAGATAATAGATTATGCTTTTTTTATTCCTTGCATAATTCAAATATAGCTATTGTTGCAATGAGCTATGTTTATATTCTTGCCATCTTCTTCATTTAACGTGATAAATAATAAAATTTCATTTGAAGTTATCTGAAAGCAAACTTTAATTTCAGTTAAATATTATAGCCAATTGAGAATTTCAGATTATCTGCGGTAAAGAGAATGATAGGAGCTGTCTGCCGAAGCTTCGAGCAATGGAACCGGTTCTGTTCGAAACACGACAAGATCGACCGGGACCGGTACGGAGTTTGATGGTGCGCATATTGAATCCATACAGTGTGCAATTATTTTGGTTACCGCCATCTTTACCGAATGGCATCATTACGCATTACATCATTGGCATACATCCGATGGTTTGTTTTTCTCAACCCTCTTTTTGAACTTCTTTTCAATTTACAATGATTTCTTTTCATTTCTTCTTTGAATTATATTTCATTTAAATAGATTGTAAATGTTGCTGATAAGTGTGCAAATGATTTCTTACCAGATTAAAAGAAAGAACAGGCATGATTTTGAAAATCTGAGTATAAGATTTTAAATTTTGAGAATTTATTTTTGTAAAATATAATTAGACACTTCCAACTATGATTTCATTTCATAGAAGATGAAAAATAAGCAAACAGGGAATTATATAGTTTAGATTGAATTTAGGAAAAGCTTGATGAATTGAACAATACAAAATAAAAATAGTTAATATTTTGTTCTTTTGTATTTCAATGTAAAAAAAAATTCCCTCTTTTACATTCTAGTGATTGAGTACTGAAAAACTGAACGAATGATTGTGGATTTAAAAAAAAAAAATTACAAATACGGAAGAGTCGCGCATAGCTCTCTTAACGTCAAGTTTAATTATTCAAATATTTTGAGAGGGAAAATTATCTGACAATAAATTTTTATAGCACATTTACGGTTGAGAATGGCAAGCATGCCTATTATCAAGAAATTAAAAAAAACTTATTGTTTGACTTAGGAAACAGGTTTTCTGTTCATTCATATTGTGCTGTGTTTTCATTCAAAGATGTAATTTTTTATTTGAAATTTTGCATTAAAAAAGGGGAAGTAAATTTAGAGTATTTATTTCTTTTTCACCTGTATCTGCTATTCTCTTTCCATTTTTTTACATCCTTTTCACTCATTATCGCTTTTTTTTCTCTCTTTTTATCATTTTTTGCTTCTTTGTCTAAATGATACCTTTCGTCTACAATACTCCAATCTTTTTTTTTCTACTATAGCAAAATATTTTAAGATATTTTGATTTCCTGTTATGATATGATTTCGAATTGTCAAACAGAAGTTCACTTTGTTGTCAAGTTAATGGCAAATAGCACCATTGAAAGTCTCTTTTTCGTATTTTCATTATTGTCACATTTGCTTTTTCTATTACTAATTTACTCATTGCATGCAATCTGTCTATTTGTAAATTTTTTTACTTCACTATTCGCTCCCTCTCAACATTCATCCATCTCCGCACTTCGCACTTTTCTGATGAACACCACAATTGCGCAATTATTGCATTGATGTTATCATGGAGCGCAAGGTCACTGAACTAATTCGACCTGTCTCGATGAAGTATTTCTTCAAAATCATTCCCTTTTTCAAATCATTTCAAATAATGTAACAGTTTTAAAAATATTTCAATATCATTAATCAGCTTTAGATTATGGGTAGACATCTCTTCATTTTTGATCAAGTTGAAAAACATTATTTCACATAAATTAATAATGGAGATGTGACTCGCTTTTAGGATTCGCCTGTATTTCCAATTATATATATATA